GATGGGCTGAAGTTAGAATAACTCGAAACGCGGTTAACAATAGAAATAACATGGGGAAACCAACTCTGGTTTACTGTTCAATTTCCAGCAACCAGGGCCTCATCTGCGGTGGGTACTTAAGACCTCATGCATTCAGCAAAGACACACTAGGAACCCACTCTGTGCCAGGCTCCGTTCTAGTTGCTGGGGGTACAATGAGGAACTAAACCATTGAGAATCCCTCCCTCAGGATGCTAACATGGAGTGAATGTTGGATGAGCAGATTTTTATTGAGCGCCTCTGAGCTGGTAGTGGTGATGGCGATTGCTGGGAAGTGTAAGGTATGTTCCTCAAGGAACTGACCATCTCACGGGGAGGTGAAGACATCTGTCCACGGAACCAAAGAACTGTTCAAAGCTATACCAAGTATTGGGTGCTGATACAGACAGACCCCCTGAGGGTGAAATGGTCAGAGTGGGCACTCATGGGCACATTCTGCAGGCAGGAGGCCTAGTGCAGTACGCTGACTTGTCTTGAAGCCTTTAACTCCCTAAGCGGTAAGAAATTGCAGATACGAATATCAGAGCACCCTTTGGTTTCGTTTCTCTCCTATAGCCCCCTAAACTTTTTTAGTTCTCCCCACATGATGCTTGTTTTTAAAGGGAATTATAGCCGCTTTTCTTTGGGGTTAGACTAATTCCCTTAAAAACCAACAGGGCACAATTACCAATAGTTCCCACCCTCATGAAGTATACAGACTACTGGCAGAGAAAGGCATAAATCAGTGACACAAATCAAAGACCCACTGGAGAGTGTCGCATGCAACAGGGGGATTTGACCTGGTCAGAAAAGTTAGGGACAGCTTCCTAGAAGAAAAGATGGGTGCGCTGAAATCTGAAGGACAAGGAGAGATTGATTAGGTGAAAGGAGAGGGGAAAACATGCCCAGCAGAGGGAGCAGCATGAGCAAAGGCCCTGTGGCAGGAGGGAGTTTGCTGTCGGGGTGGAGGGAACAGGGAACAGCTGAAAGTGCTTCTTACTCGGAAGAATTAGATAGGGCCAGATCACACAGGCCACGAGGCATATTAGGGAGTTTTCTATTTATTCCAAGAGTATCAGGAAACCTTTGAAAGAGTCAGTAGAATGAGGGAAGGAAGCGGGGGGGGGGGG